CGTAAATATTAATATAACGTCGTGTTATGTATATTCACACGACGTGAATAATAAGCTACCGTCGTATTTATAAGAAACCAAAAACATTTTTCTTTCTTTGTGAATGTTTGATTGCAGGTTTGATTTCTCTGAAACATGGTTTTTGTTTTTCCTAATTTGATAAAATACAAAGAAAAAAAGCTTTGGCATCTTTTTATAGACGACGGTATCTTAGTATAACGTCGTGGTATGAACATTCACACGGCGTCAATAATAAGATACCGTCGTCTATATAAGATACCAAACCCTACTTTCTTTGTCTCTGTATTTTATCAAATTAGGAAAAACGAAAACCATGGTTCAGAGAAATCGAACCTGCATCTAAACAAGCAAATAAAAAATTGACCGTCATTTTAAAAACAACTTAGATCAATTTTAAGACGACGCTAGGACGACTGATGAACCGTCGTGGTCTACATATTTAACCACGTAAATAAAAAGCTACCGTCGTCTTATTTAGTTGAATTAGTTATGTTCAAAGTTGAAACATTCCCTCTCTGTCTGTGTATTTTATCAAACTTGGAAAGAATAAAAGTTATTTTCGCCAGAAAAAAGGTAAAAAGATTTTCAAAACAAAAACAGTATGAGCATGCAAAATAGCAACAAAAATAGTGAGAAATGAAAGCTTACCTTTTGCGTGCAATGAAAGCTTTCTCTCGGATTTTGGTGTTTAAGTTCAGAGGCGACGACGAAGACAAGAGGAAGACGATGAGATACTGCTGACAAGGAAAAAAGACGAAAAGTTTTCTCTGGGAGATTGAAATGTTTTCTCGGGTTTGGAAACAGTGCATGTGTAAGTCAGGTAGACGAAAAGTTGTATATGTATACAAACCGTTTCATAATAATAAGACGGCGGTTTACATAGAACGACGACGTATTAATAGACAAACTACGACGCTAATTTGAACTTATGACGTGGTACATAAATACGACAGTGGTGTTGTAGGTACCGCCGTAGTAAACTCCTAAATAAAAGTCGATAACTCAATATCTCGCGTCATGGTAGATATATTTAACACGACGGTTGTTTTAAAGTTACGACGTTTATTTTCATAATATACGTCGTTTTATTTTAATATACCGACGTGGATAACACTAAACTAAAACGACGTATTATTTTTTCCACGACGTGGATTCGTTTTTAAACGTCGTTATGTGTAATATAACCGACGTGGATTTTTTTTTTTATTATAAATATAATTTTTTTCCCCTTTTTCTTATAGTTTATTTTTCAAAAACAGTGCCTTATAGATATAGTTTTTTTTCCCGAGGAAATTAATGTTCTAGAATTTGTAAAGTTTCTTTTCTAGGTGACTGATTTAAATCAAATAAAAATATAAAACAACGACTGTTTTTGTTATACCGTCGTCGTTTATTGTCGTCTTAAGTAAGAATAAAACGACGTGCTGTATTTGTTACCGACGAGGATTGTTTTTGTTAAACGTCGTTATGTGTATTATAACCGACGTGGATTTGGTTTTTTAATTATAAATAGGGTTTTTTTCCACGGGTTCTTTCAGTTTTAGTATTCGATTAGGGTTTCAACTTTTTCTTGCCGCTTTCTCTGTCTCACCTCATCTCTTGGGATTGCAAATCACCAATTTTCAATAAATTGTCTCTCTGATTGCAAATCTGTGGCTGCCGTCGTGAAGTTTTAGGAGGCGATTGTTTGGATGTGAATGTGTATGTGCGTTTGTGTAGATACACAAACGCACATACATCATTCACTTCCAAAAAATTGTCTCTCTGATTGCAAATCTGTGGCTGCCGTCGTGAAATTTTAGGAGGCAATTGTTTGGATGTGAATGTGTGTGTGCGTTTGTGTAGATACACAAACGCACACGCATCATTCACTTCCAAAAAATTGTCTCTCTGATTGCAAATCTGAGGCTGCCGTCGTCAAATTTCAGAGGCAATTTTTTGGATGTTAATGTGTATGTGCGTTTGTGTATCTCAAAGACACAAATACACATACATCATTAACCTCTAAAATATTGTCTTTCTGGTAAGATTATAATGAGCAACAGATCTGGAGTTCCATCTTGTAAGATTTCCTAACCCTTGTGATCTCAGAATAATCTGATTATGTCGGCGGTTTTCTATATAAACCGTCGTGGTTATTTCAATTCTTGTCGTTAGGTAGATCTACCGACGTAGGATAACAAAATCGAAGAAATAAATTGTTAAAAAAAATTCTTATTCAGACGACGGTTTAAATATAATTTATGACATATAAAGTGGACAAATACGACGTTAAATTCTATAAGATGTCGTTATATGAAAAACCCCAACTTCGTAAGATTGAAAGATGTCGTCGTAGAAATACGAGAAAGACGTCGTTATATTTACCTTTGCCGTAGTTGTACATTAATTTAATACGGCGGTATTTTGTATTTTACCGCCGTGGATTTATTTGTAATTTTACGTCGCCTTATACGAAAACTTGGTCGTGTTAATTTCTGGGTAAAAACGACGGCTTTTTGTGAAACCGTCGTCTTTACTTTCTACGTCGGTCGGTTCATAACTTCCGCCGTTATTGTTGGCTACGATTTTACCTCTTGAAAATCCTATTTCAATAAGACGTCGGTTTTTTAATTAAGTACGTCGTGTTTTTGGAACAGCCATTTGAAACTCCATTTTTAAGTTGTATAATGTGTTATTACACGGCGGTTTTATAAAACCGTCGTCTTTTAAAAAACAACGACGGTTTTCACGTAGACCGTCGTGTTTTTGTGGTCGTCTTTTTCACTTTTTGTAGTAGTGTCTATTCATTTGCTATGCACATAATGTCCTATACATAAGGAAATAAGTCGGCAGTAAAACACTTCCTATTGAATAGTGTAATGACGGTTGATTTATACTTCCTAACCAAGTAATATATATAGCAAATAAGGAAGAATGTCTTTGTGATTCTTCCAACTCCTCCAATCATATCCTTTTCTCTTTGGTGAGTTGGCTAACTTTGACACGTACAAAGTCTATGAATTGACAAAACTAACTAACAAGGTCTATTAATACATATCCACACACACACATATATATATAGATATATATAATAGAATAAGATATTTATGTAATACACACACATATATATTAAGATATATGTATATATAATAGAATAATATATGTAATAAGATATAAATATATAAGTATTATTATAATAATATAATAATTATAAAAGTATAACAACAATATTTACATATACGTACCAAGATAATTACACATACTAATATATATATATATTTAACCAAGATAATTATCTATTAAAAATATAGGGTTTCACACACTTGTATTAAAAAAATTATTAAAAGACATAATAAGTTTGGATGATTTGGTGTGACTATTCTACATATTGAAACATTAATGTTTAAAGCATCTCCAAGGTAGATGTCAAATACCAAACATCAAATTTAAAATTGATGACTGATGTGGCAATTTGACATCTTACACTGTTTTACACTCCACACAATATGTCAAATTAAATTATTATTTTATTACAATTTAGTGTTTTTTTATTTATTATTTATTCGTTAGACTCTGAATCAACAAGATTCCACAATTTAGTGTTTTTTATTTGTTACTTCTTCGTTATACTCTGAATCAACAAGATTCCAAAAGTGCTCATCTGGGGAATCAGAAGATGAATCGGAAAGTGATGAGACATGTTGGGGTTCTTCACAATGCACTATAAAAGAAAAGGAATATTTTTGGTATAAAAGAGGAATTGTGTTTGAGCACAAGTTAATTTTTGTTTTGTTTTTTGAAGAAACAGAAATTAAAGAGATGTATTCATAAATTAAAAAATATAATTAAATGTACAATAGGAGGAAAAGGGTTGTGCATTTAAAAAAAATTGTTTAACCGGAACAAAGTTGGAAAGAGAAAGAAGAAAAAAATTTGTAATGGTCAAATTATTCAAGATAAAGAAGGAAAAAATACAACAAGAAAATAATAAATGAAAGAAGATAAGTGAAATAACAGCCAATTGTTTTAAAATAATAATAGTAATAATAATTTCACACCTTGGCTTTTGCAAGATCAAAAGTAATGGCTGGAAGCTTTGACAATTCGATTAGAGTGATGTGAGATATTATTTATAACTGTTAAATGTCTATGTGGCCCTAAAGCGCCATGCATTTATTTTGAAATATAAAATAATAGAGGGAAAATTTTTGTTGGGGCCCAACAATTTTCTTTTGAAGGTGAACTATCCATTTTGGCCCAATCTGAAATTATACCAGTGAGATTTTATAGAGGTCGTATTTGGGACTTGGGAAACAATGTGCTGCACATCAAGATCAAGTTTCCTTCACTGGAAACAATCTACACTCGAGCTTCATGGAAACCCATCCCTAAAGAATTCACGGAGAAAATATCGTCTCTTCAGTGGAATGTTGTTCTCTACAATTAACAACCTTATGTTTGTGTATATATATATAATGTTTTCTTTTCGTTTTTCTGCGTTTCCTTGGTACTTTGGTTGGTATCCAAATTCAAACAGAGAATATACGACAGAGTAAAGAAGTAATAAAGAAGATGATTCAGAAAAGGGAAAATGCTTCATATGGTTCGAGATTGGTTGAGCCCAATTGTAGTTCTAGTGCACTGCTTTATTCTGTTTGCTTGCTGAGAAACTGGGAAAGTATCTGGATTCTATAATATTTGGCAATTAAATAAAAAATTTATAGCGCATGCTAAAACAGTAAAAGAAATCTATATCATGCAAAACACATAGCACATAGTTTTGCATGAACTTATGTTGAATTTCTTTGCCATGATTGAATATTTAAGGAAGAGCTAAAAACCCCTACCTATGAGTTGCACAAGTTCAATTTGGCAAGTCTTTGAAACCCTTGGGAAATCTACAAACTCCTGCTGCCACTCCATCTGTTTTTCTCCTGAGATATTTCTAGCATAAACTGTCACTTTGTTTAAAGCTTCACCGTGCTTGAGCATGTACTTCACGGCTTCCATCTCATCTGACTGCCATCTGAATCCCGTACGCAAACAGTGAGGCTTGAGAACAAACACATAGGCACAGTCTCTGGTTGACACCATTGATCATTCTTGTCATGCTGAACGGTCTTGAGGCTTGAGAACAAACAAATAGGCACAGTCTCTGGTTGACACCATTGATCATTCTTGTCATGATCGGCATGACACTTGATGTTCTAATAAGGATCATTTAAAACAAATTAGTTCAATAAAAACTTTTGAAAAGAACTGTATATAAGACCCATTTAGTGCGGAGGGTAAACCTATTTTTATATACTTACATTTTCAAAGACAAGACTCTCCAGATTGGGTGATATCTCGAACAACTTTGTCAGTGATTTCCAGGAGGAGCAGGTTTTAAGACGTACCTCCAAGTGGTTCAAATGATAGAACTTAGGCAGCGGACCTTGAAAGTCGAGGCAAGGATTCTCCAAGAAAGACAAAGCAAATAGGCATATCAAAGACTTAATCACATATTGTCATTGATAAATTTCATGATGTAATTAAAAAGGCTTTTGGAAACTAAGAGAACAAGTTAGAGATTACTTACTGTCAAAATGGGAGCTGCAAGAGACAGAGATTTAACATTGATAATTCCTGAAAAAAGCCTATGCGTGCGATGAGCATAATCAATGCCAGGATCAGCGTGATATCTCCTATACACTTGGACATCAACCTTGGCTTTGCTTAGGGTTTTTGCATTCTTCAAAGAATAGGTGGCGAAAAAATTCTCCATGAGATCCAACGTTTCAAGCTGTGGAGCATTGACTGTGATAGAAACATTCCTCATCCAACTGCCCATCAAACTTATTTGTAGTATTTTTAGTTTGGGTGCAGAAACATTTAAACTGAAGACCGAATCAGCGTCTCCGGGGATTTTCTCAACATTTCCATCTATAATCAAATCTTCAAGTGCAGGGCAACAAGAAAAGAGCTTCTTCATTGAGTCCGCATCCGGAAAGCAGACTAAGACGTGGAGGAACTTGAGATTTGGGAAACAAGTACGAGTTCGGTGGAATGGCAACGATATCGAACTGCAGCCTCAACTTCAAAATCACCAGCGTCTTGCACATGAAAAGGGTTCTAGGCAACTCATAACGCTGCCATGGATTTGGGAACAACGAAAGATGGAGTTCGACGACATTACGCTTAATGGCAGTGCAAATCCACTCATCAACATGAGAAAACTATTTGTGTGCCCCATAAATATGAAGATGGAACCGATGAATTCTTGACGAGCCATGAGATGAAAGTACTCGATCCACAAATCCTGGCCTACATGTGGAGTCAGATTTTGGTGAACATATAAGCAACTTTAGATTGGGAACAGAAGCCCACAAATTCTTCCATCTGTGTGATAAGACGCAGGTTTTTACAGCTGTGATTGTGTAAAGGAAGGAAAGAATGTGGTAAAGAACTTCATCCGGTAATCCACTGATCCTGTCTTCATCAATGCATGCTTGATGAGGCTTTGAGTTCGAAGCCATTTACGTTTCCTGAGAAGTATAATGCCAATTACGGTTCAAATCAAACAACCATGTTACTTTCTGACACATTCAAATGATAGTCTAATTAGGATCAGTGGATTGAGATAGCTTTAAAGTTTTATTGATATGAATATAGGGATAACAATACCAATACTACCTCAAGTCCTACAAACTCTTATCAAAATACAAAAGCAGAGTAAATTCCATTTCCAAAATCATTTTTAAAACTTAAAAGATTGTTTTAAGTTAGCAATCGTCAGCGTAAAAAGCCCATATATATATGTCACATCAAAGCGGTGAGTTGCAGTCGTCTTGCCATTCTTGACATGCTGTGTTGTTTTTGCGGTCCAACTGTTTCTCGATCATCTAGATGTTCTACGCCACTTTAGTTGCCTAAGAAGCACTTTAGTGTATCCGATTGATCCATAATAAAGGGCGAAACAAAGGATTATCCAACTATGGTTGGTACCAATTAAACTAGAGAAAATTTTCTCCATAACAATCTTTACACTCCAAACTAATGGAAAACTCTCCTTAACGTTCATTTAAAAGCAATTCCCGAGAAAATATTGTCACTTTAACTTCCTTAAAACAGCAGAATTACTTGACCAAAAAAACAAACAGCAGAATTAAAATTGGCACTATGTTTTCTTTTCGTTTGCCTGCGTGTTGACTTGGTATCCAAACAGAGGATAAGAATAAAGAATAATAAGAAGATATTTCAGAAATCGGAAAAATACCTGATATGGTTCTCGGTTGGTGGAACCCAATTGTAGTTTTATTGCCCTGCTTACTCTGTTTGCTTGATGAGAAACAGTAGGAAAATAAAGAAACATCAGAACAGGGGAAACACCTAGATTCCATAATATTGAATATTCGTCTTTTATAATCAACAAAATATAATCCCCCTCCCCGTATTAGATTAAAGTAGATATCGCTTGTATATATATATATATATATATATATATATATAGCACAGCCCTTGTATGTTAGGGCGTTGTATCATGTCAGACTTGATTACCAAGTAACCTGATATGATTAGACTTCCTATCATTATGTATTTGTTTTATTATAGAGGAGATAATCAACTCAGGTTGAGTTTTATCACTCCATGTGTGACAGATAATGAGTTAATTAGTAATTTACCAGATTAATTGATATAACTAGTACACAAAGTTAAGCTTGCTAGCATTAACCCAAAAAGAGGGTCCCTTATTCAACACTTTTTTTTGTCACGGACATTGTTTTGCTTCTAATAACATGACAAAGTGCTAGGGCAAATAAGAACGATGAGGGCATAAATCTGTTTTATGTGCATGTATATGCATGGTTGCAATGCTTTATTAGAAATCGAGGGCTCTAAATATGGGTCTCTAATATTGGAGATGTTCTTGATACACAGTTCCTATGTATTTCTTAAATAATGTTAACTGTTGCAGATTTTATTGTTCAAGAATCACATAGTTTGGTGATTTACTTGTCTATGCGTTTGAATAGTTTTCGTCCGAAATCTTTATTTTGTTTCCTGAATTATTTTTTCTTCGGATCATATACCATAAACATATCTTGTGAATTTCTTTGCAAAACTGATTATATATAATAAGGCCATACGCCAATTCCTTCAAAACTGCTAATAAATTCACGTTTCATCGAAAAAGAAAGTACCCTATTCACAAATGTTGTAATCCATACATATATCATAAGACCTAGGACTTGAGTTCCAAAAGTTCAACTTGGCAAGTCTTTGAACCCCTTGGGAACTTCGAAAGTTCCTGCCGTAACCTCATCTCTTCTGCTACACCCAAATCATTAGTATAAAAAATTGTCACCTTAGTCAAAACCTCGCCGTGCTTCAGCAAATACTTTGCCACCTCCATCTCGTATGGCCTCCCGTAGAATCCATGTATGCAAATAGTTTTGATGCTGGACAACAAGCAAACAGGCACAGATTCTGGTGGACGCCATTTATGTGCTACTAGATAACCCTCAGCATGTTTCCAACACCACTGTATGTTCTAGAGAATATTCAAAATTAATGAGTTAAATAACATGTTTCGAAATTGTATATTGGTACCGTTTTAACAAAAGGGTTATAATTTATAAATGTTACGTATACTTGCCTTTTTAAACACCAGATGTTCCAGCTTGGGGGACACGTCGAGCCACTTTGTCAATGACTTCCAAGCACAGCAAGTTTGAAAATGTAGCTTCAAGTGGTTCAAATTATGAAACTTAGGCAGACGATATCGATGTATAACGTCAGGACCCTTCAGGCAATGATCAAGTAAAACTAAGTCAATCAAGGACTTGAGCAATATCAAATATTTCTTCAGCATATATGAAAGAGAAGATGTTAATATTAGAGCCTACTTACCTCCGAAATTGGAGCTGAAAATGACAAATATGTAACCTTGTTAATTCCTGCTAAAAGCTTACTTAATTGATCAGCATAATGAAGCAATTGCCATAAGTAAATATCTCCGGGGTAACCCGTTGGAGGCACTCGGAGAGCGATTTTCGCTTTGCTGAGGGATTCTGCATTCTTCCAAAATTTATCCTCCAGATTCCAACCATTAGGATGATTAGATTTTCTGTCCAGAATGACATACAAATTTATTTCTAGTCTTTTCAGTTTAGGCGCAAAGACATTAAATAGAAAAGCTGGTTTATGGTGAACAAATCCATCTATAATCAAATCTTCAAGTACAGGACAACAAGAAAAGAGGTTCCGAGTTGAGTCATAAAAAGTACGGTAGAGTGTTGGGTCATAAAAAGGACGGTAGAGTGTGACATGCATAAACTTGAGACTAGGGAAACAATTTGAGGTTGGAGGCTTGGTAATAAGATTTGATTTAACCCTCAGTCTCAAAACCTCCAATGTGTCGCACATGAAAAGGCTTCTAGGCAACTCAAAACTACTCTGGCACGAATACGAGAGCAAGCAAAGATCAAGTTCCACAACTTTACGTGAAATAGCAGTGCAAATCCAAGCATCAATCCGGGAAAAATAATCCTCGATATTAGCACATTCGAGCCGCAATCTATGAATGTACGAGGAGCCACCAAGGGCAAGTACTCGATCCACGAACCCTGCGCAACGATCTGAGACCATATTTGGTGACTGAACACAGAAGTCAAAGCTAGAAACAGAAGCCAACACATTTTTCCATCTGTGTGATAAAATGCTGGTCTTTGCAGCTTCCTTTGTGTAAAGGAAAGAAAGTATGTGGCAAAGAAGTTCGTCTGGCAATCCACTGATCCGATCTTCCATGCATGTCTTACAACCCATTTATGATGCGATTTATTTTCTCAACAAAATAATGGGGGTTGCTGGTTCATGTCCTCTTGGCTATATAGGTTGTGCTTTTCTGAATTTGTTTGTTATTTAAAAGCAAAATAATTCCTAAGAAAGAAGTTAATTACTTGTTGTGTTAGTTCTATAATTCTTATTCAAGATGAAGTATATAGAAACACTAATTAAGTAAGAACATAACAAAGTGTTAGGGGGAAGATAAGAATGATTAGGGCAGTGTAGCATATTAATCGGAAGAAGAAATCTACAAGGGTGCATAATCCTCTGTTTGTCCTGTTTTATTTATGAGGTTGCCAAAGTTGAATCGGAGTTGGATTGTTTATTACTACTAATTTACGAATTTATACTCATTTATAAATAACATTTATCATAAATGGATTGGTAACCCCATATGATTAGACTTCCTTACACAGAGATTTACCACAAATTTTGTTTTAGAGAGACTAGAGATATCATGATAAAAAACCCATAATTGTTTTATAATTAATTATGAAGTTACTGATGCCAGACTTTATTTTTTGGTGTGTGTTTAACTTGGCCTCGACCTTGCTCGAAATGCCAGTAACAACTCGTATACTTTTTCTGTACCAATATCCTTTCTACATTACAGAAAAAAGGTTATCGTATGTCGATACCATTCAGGGTACGGTAACGGTAAATCATCGTATACTTAACCAGATATTTGTGTCTGAGTTTTCTCACTAGCAAACTCACAAATTAGTCTCAGAGATTGAGGTATGCAATACAAATAAAGGGAACTAAAAAGAGAAAATTAGAAAAGTTAGAAACATAAGTACTCCAAATACATTCATGTTTTATCGACAACGAAAGGATCCATTCACAACCTTGGAAATGGAAACCATATAATTAAAACCTAGATGTTCTCAGTGCACATCTTCGGGAACATAATTTTGCACGTCTGTGAAACCCTTGGGAACTTCTGAACTTCATCCCATAACTTCTTCTCTTCTCTTAAATATGTAGCTCTAGTACAGAATATCATGTAATCCAAAACCTCACTGTGCTTCAACAAGTACTCTGCCACTTTCATCTCATCTGGCTGCCGACGGAATCTTTGCATTCGAACAGTCTTCAGGTGTGACAACAAACAAATAGGAACAGACTCAGGTGGAGTCCATTCATGTACTAATTCATCCTTGTTGTGCTGTATAAGACATTTGACGTGCTAAAGATTATTCAGAACAAACGAGTTAAATTAAAGTATGCTTGAAAAATTGTATTTATGGATAACATTTAGCGTAGGGTACATCCACATAAACTAACCTTATTGAAGGTAAGAGATTCCAGATTGGGCGATGCATTGAGAAAGTTTATCAATGATTGCCAAGAGCAGCAACTCTGGAAAAGTAGCACCAGGTGTTTTAAATTATTCAACATAGGTAGACGATAGCGATATACAATGCGGGGATCCTTCACAAATGACAAGTATTGATCGATCAAAGACTAGAAAAATCAAATATTTCCTCAGGGTAAAATAGCATTCCAATTGATAAATCAAAGCGTGTAAAAAGGCTGTGAGACACCAAGGGAACCAGTTAGAGCATACTTACCCCGAAAATAGGTGCTGAAACCCCCAGATATTCGACGTTGCCAATTCCTGCAAAATGCCTGTGTAAAAGCTCAGCAGCATCAGATCCCGCATGCAGGCCCTCAAAATTATTCTTGGCTATCTTGAGGGATTTTGCATTCTTCGAAGAAAAGACTGCCAAAACATTGCCGTCGAAACTGAACTTTTCAAGATTTGGAGTATTGGCATTAATAAAAGTCTTGTAATCATAATATTCACCAACTATACAGAGGAACACATTCATACGCAGTCTCTTTAATTGTGGTGCAGAAATATTTACATTCAAAACAGAACCTCCATCAGGTTCTGCCTCAATAGTCAAATCTTCAAGTACAGGGCAACAAGTAAAGAGCTTCCCCATTGAGTCAGCAGCATCAGGACACGCTACATTAACATGGAGGAACTTGAGACTTGGGAAACAATCGGAGTGAGGAGTAAAGGTAATAATTGAGGGCAGCTTCAGCTTCAAAACCACCAATGTTTTACACATGTAAAGGCTTCTTGGCAACTCAACAGGCTCGGATGAAAATGAGTCCCGAGCAAGATCAACATCAAGTTCAACAACATTATGGGTAATGGCAGTGCAAATCCAATCATCCAACCATGGAAGTTCTGCCATGTACTTAGTATGCAGACGAAATCTATGAATGCTCGAGTTGCCCCGTGAGTAAAGTACATGATCCACCAACCCTGCAAAACGCTCATGATCAAATTCTTCTATATTGTCACATAGGTCGATATTGGGAACAGAAGCCCACACATGGTTCCATCTATGTGATAAAATGGTGGTCCTAACAGCCTGGACTGTTGGAAGGAAGGAAAGAATGTGGCAAAGAATTTCATCTGGTAATCCACTGATTCTATCTTCAGTGCAAGCTGGACGTTGAAATTTTGAATTCGAACGCATTTTCGATTTCTCACGTTTTCTGTAAAAATCCAAAAACCAATTTAGCTTCTAAGAGAGTTTTCTATAGATACCCATTAAACTGGAGAAAATCAAAAGTTGAATTCCAAGAAATCCCCAAATAACATTTTCACGAAATTCCTTTGATGTGCCAGTTTCCACATTGAAAAAAAAACACAGATAATATATATATATATACACACACACACACAAGAATAACGATAATCAAAAGTTTTTTTCTGGGTTTTTCATGGCATGCAGACAGAGAATATACACACACAAGAATAACGACATAACAAACGAAATAATACTTCAGAAAATGAAAAATACCTCATTGATATGAGTGAGGACTCGTGGAGCTTAGCGTACTGGTTCTGTTTGGTTGCTGAGAAACCACGGGAAGATGAAGGAAGATGAGAAAGCGGCCAGTTCTATACCTTCTCTTCGGAATGTGAGATTTGGGGCCAACGCTTGCGCGGGATTTTAATTTTTAGGTACTCAGAAAGCCAATTTTGTTGAAATTTGGGCTTAAATTTGTGTTTTGAGGTCTACAATTGAAAGACCTTGCTCATGTATCCTGGCCCAAATTCATTAGCTACCTAATCTTTCAGCCCAGGCAAGTTCCGTTTGTTTCGGTAACCATAGAAAAAGAATTTTATCTTGAGAAAATAAAAGAAGCTAAATTTAAACCGACTAATTTCATGAGAAAATTCTATTGGGGGAAAAGTACGAAAAATGGAAAACATATAAAAAGGTTTTTGAATACAAGCAATAATCTAAATTATAAGGAGGATGGGGTTTCTCTCACACACACACTTACCAATAAAGATGTCATTAGTCTGCAAGTGAATGTCCTTTTCCACGCTCTATTGGAATACAAATTTTAGAAAGTAAAAGAAAAAAGGGTTTGATATGAGGGTATTGCTTGTATTGTAGGTTTGACTTTGCTCATACCAACAACGAGAATTGACAAATAGCACTTGAGCAATGACTAATTTGTTTTTATTTAGTTTCCTTGGTTTATGTGCCATAAACCATAATCTAATTCCTCCAAAGTGAAAAGGAGCTGAAAAAAGAATACAAGAGTTGAAAGCAATATACAGCAAATAAATACATGTTCTTATCAACATAGAAATGATCCACTCAATACTCCCAAACAGGGTTCACATGAAACCTCATTTGATTTTGGGAAATACAATTTGACAAGTCTTTGAAGCCCTTGGGAACATTGAAATTGTCTGCAACAACTTTACCTCTTCTCTCAGACCTAGCACAGGGAACTTCATCTCTTTTTCTTCACAGAAATACTCAAGGGTACAAATTGTCATGGTGCTCAAAACCGCACCGTACTTCAACAAGTACTCCACCACTTCCATCTCGTCCGGCAGCCCCTGGAATCCCCGTATGCGAATAGTCTTGAGGTGTGACAACAAACAAGCAGGCACAAAATCTGGTGGACTCCATTCATGTACCGACTCATCCACGAAATGGCACACATAACAGTGGATGCTCTAAAGATGGTTTAGAATATAAATGAGTTGAATGAACATCTTAAAAGATTGAATATCAGTACAGTTCAGCGTATACTTACATTCTCAAAGACTAGATGTTCCAATTTGGGAGATATCTGCAGAAAATTTGTGACCGATCGCAACGAGCAGCAATTTTGAAGAAGTAACTCCAAGTGGTTCAAATTGTTAAATGTAGGGAGATGATATTGATACACACTGCAGGGACCCTTCACAAATGATAAAAGTAAAAATGTTTTCAGTCCATTCATAAACTCCAGCACATAAAAAAGTTATCAGTCACTAAGGGAACAAGTTAGAGCATCCTTACCCCGAAAACTGGAGCTGAAAGGGACAGAAATTTAACATTGCGAATTTCGGCAAAGAGCCACTGTATGCGATCGGCAGAATCACGGACTGTGCCAAACTTCTCCCCAGAATGCAGGTTTACGAAATCAATCTTGGCTCTGCTTAGGGAATGTGCATTCTTCAGGGAATAGTTTGCCAAAATATTCTCCTGCAGATTAAACTCTTCTAGACTTGGAACATTAGCATTAATAAAAACTTTTCGATCATAATTTCCATCAAATGGAACGATATACCAACTTATTCTTAATCTTTTTAGTTTCGGTGCAGAGACTTCAAAATTCAGCACTGAATCATATCCAGGTTCTCCTTCTATAACCAAATCTTCAAGAGCAGGACAACATGAAAAGAGCTTCTCCATTGAGTCAGCATCAGGAAGTACGACATCAACATGGAGGAACTTGAGACTTGGGAAACAATCTGAGGCAGGTGCAAGGGCAATAAAATTTGATTGCAGCCTCAGCTTCAAAACCACCAGTGTTTTGCACATGAAAAGGCTTCTAGGCAACACGAAAGGCTGCGGTGGATTCGAGTACTCGTAAAGCTCAAGGTCAAGTTCGACAACATTACGCATAATGGCAGTGCGAATCCAAGCATCAATACGAGAAAAATCCTTCATTTCCAGACACAAAAGGCGGAATCTATGAATGTTGGAGGAGCCACGAAAGAAAAGTACCCGATCCACAAAACCGGAGAAGCCATCTGGATCACATTTTTTCAAACGTCTTTCTAATGGATAATATTCTCGGTCACGCAAGTACAGATTTGGAACAGAAGTCCACTGATTCTTCCACCTGTGTGATAAAACGCTGGTCCTCACCGCCTCTCTTGTCAAAAGGAAGGAGAGAATATGGGAAATGATTGCATCTGGCAATCCACTGATCCTATCTTCATGGCATGCTTCACGAGACTTTGAATTCGAACCCATTTTCGATCATGTGATACGTTTCCTGAAAACCCAAAAAATATAAATCAATCTGCCACTCTGAATTTGAACCCAAACACACAAACAACCACTTTAACCATTGCATGTGTGTTTGCAACAAGCCTAATATAATAATGGGGTTCATGTTTTCTTTGCCATACCAGAAAACAGTTCCTGAGAAAGTTTCCTTAAAAGAGACAAGATTTGAAATAAAAGTCAACAGAGTTTCTGGGGAAAATCTCCTTAGAAAGGATTTCAAACAAAATCCCACAAGATAAAAAATTCAGGAGAGCTCTTTCCCTCAATTTCTGTGTTGTTCACAACAGAAAACTAGTAAGATTTACGAAAACAGAGGATATACAATTCAGAAAAACAAGAACACAGAGGATATACAGACAATTCCAATACAAGAAAACAGAGGAGATATTTCAGAAAAGGGAAAGAGAACCTGATGATGAGAATCTCCATTGGTTTACTCTGTTTTCTCTGTTATCTTGCTGAGAAACATGAGGAAAAGAAAAGAAGATGAGAGACTGGGTTACTTCACTTTCACCGTTCAACCACGTTTATCTCCAGGAAGACTGGAAATGGTGGTAAACTAAAGCATGAGTGAGACTGTGACAGCTGACCAAACACGAACTAAAGCTGAACGTACTAAATGACAAAACAACAAGGTTTTACAGTTTACGCTTTGGACAAAATGATTACTTCTCTCGATGAGTACAATAATTGGGTAATGACGTGATCCATTACGATACAAATACATGTCATTGTAAATTAGGCTTACTTTTACATCACTCCTTTGACGTCTTGTGTAGTTAGATTAATACTTCGTGTCACGCTTTATTTTACAGTCTGTCGAATATAGTTAAGTTGGACAAAATATCGGTTAAAACTGCTGATGTGACAAAAAGAATCCCTCTTTGCTCAATTCAGATTAAAAAAATTATATTAAAAATTTGCTAATTCAACTCAAAAATAAAAAAAAACACAACTTGTCAGTGGTGAGCCGCAGGTGTGAAGAAAACTCCAAGTGGTTCAAATTATTTATAAATGTAGGCAGAGAAATTGACGCACACCGTAGGGACAAAACATGACACAAGTGTAGGAGCAAATTAACAATTCCTTGGCATGTTATAGAATTTCTAGCTAGGGTATATGCATTCGTTGGAACTTGGATTCTTGTTATAGTGGCGCTTTCTAAATCTTTAAAATGTCACGGAGAAAGATTTCTCCATGAAAAGTCCACATCAAACAGAAGCCTAAGGCTTTGTTTGATGGTCATTTCAATTTTAGTTTTTAGTGTTTATTTTTTGTGCTATAATATAGACGAAAAAGAGGGTGAATGAGAGCGGAGATGAGATTGAAAGGGTAAGATGGGTAGGAGGAGTGGTAAAAGTGAAAACAAAATTTTAAAACTGAAATCTATTTGAAATTGTTTTCACTTTTAAGTTTTTGTTTTCACTTGTGTTACTCATCCCTCTCATCTTCCCCTCTCATACTCTCTCTCAGCCTCATCCTCACTTCCATTCTCCCTCTCATTTTCCTCCATACACTAGCACAAAAAATAAAAAATAAAAACTAAAATTGAAATGGTTATCAAACATACCTTAATATTCTCAACAAATGATTTATTTATGTCACAGTAGAAACTAATTAAATGATAAGATATTATGTTATGTATGCTTTCCATATATGTTTCCATTACTCATTCCTCCAAAGTGAAAGAAGCTAAAAGCAGAAGATATTTAAAACACAAGTGCACTTCCATCAACAAAGAAAGGTGTAAGACGTAAGCAGATTTGGCTGAATGATCCATCAGTGTGATGGAGAGTTGTATTTATAAACAAATTACAAGAGTTGGTTACATAGATAAGACATGACTCCTTCTTGATAAGGCAATCCTTGTATCAGAATTTAAAATACAAATACAACAAACTTTCAAACTGTACGTACAAACAATATCATGAGTTTGAATTCAAATATGAGGATAGCCTCTGTCTAACATCCCCCCGCAAGCTGACAGCACGAGACACAACTGGAAGCTTGGACACCAACAATTTGAAACGAGCAGAGGACAAGCCTTTGGTAAACAAATCAGCTAACTAGTCCAGAGAACAAATGAAATTAACAGCAAGCTCACCTCGAATGACCATTTCCCTAACATAATGATAGTCCACCTCAAGATGTTTGGTGCGAAAGTGAAACACGAGATTAGAAGCAAGAGCAATCGAGGAGATGTTATCACACCAAATAGTGGGTCTGGATAAGGGCAGCTGCAAATCACGAAACAATGAGCGAAACTATGACAATTCAGCTGCAGTATACGCCAGTTGACGGTACTCAACCTCTATGCTTGACCGGGATACTGTTTTATGCTTTTTAGAGCTCCATGACACCAAATTGGTACCAACATAAATGCAATATCCACCGGTTGAGTGTCAAGAATCCGGATCACCGGCATAGTCCGCATTCGAGAAAGCACTAACTTGCAAACTGCCTGGCTTGTAAACAATACCACAATCATAAAAGGATTTAAGATAACACATGATGCACTTGACTGCTAACCAATGGGGAGTCTTCAGAGAATGAATAAATTGGGAAACTTGGTTTACAGCATAAGATAAATCTGGGCGTGTGATTGTCAGATACTGCAAAGCGCCCACAATGCTTCTATAGGTCTCAGGATTAGCATGCGGTTTACCATCATAAGCACTCAATTTTTGCCCACTGGAAACTGATGTAGAAATTGGCTTTGCATCCAGAAACTTAGTACATTGAAGAAGATCAAGAGTGTACTTGGATTGTGTGAGATGCATAGAGTCACCAACATAGGTAACTTCAATGCCCAAAAAATAATGAAGTTGGCCCAAATCTTTCGTAGAGAAAAGAGTACTCAAATGACGAATGAGATGAGAAACTTGGATTGGATCATTGCCGGTGAGCAAAATATCATCAACGTAAATAAGTAAGATTAAGTAGACACCTTGTTGGTTGTAGACAAAAAAGTGAATAATCACACTTAGACTCTTGAAAGCCAAGTTGTAAGAGATAATAAGAGAACTTATCAAACCAAGCCTGTGGTGCTTGCTTCAAACCATACAGACTTCTTTGCAATCGACAGACATGATTAGGAAATTGCGGATCAACAAACCCAACTAGTTGTTTCATGTAAACCTCCTCACTTAAATAACCATGCAAAAATGCATTTTGCACATCAAGTTGTCTGACTGACCATTTATTAGTGACTACAAGACTGAGAACCAAGTGGATAGTGCTATGCTTGACCACTGGACTGAATGTCTCACTATAGTCGACACCTTGCTTCTAATGAAAACCATTGGCGACAAGTCTTGCTTTATAGCGTTCTATGGACCCATCTGCTCTCCTTTTAATTTTAAAAACCCATTTATTTGGCAGCATGTTCATATTGTACCGAAACGGAACTAGTTGCCATGTGCCATTGCGCTGTAAGGCATTGAATTCATGTGTCATTGCTTGTCTCCACTCCTCTTGCTTCATAGCCTGGCTAAAACAAGTGGGTCCCAGTAATTTAGTATCAACAATAAAATTCATTGCATATTTAGGATTTGGTTTTTGAACTCCTAACCGTGACCGAGTCACCGTAGGATGCGTGGGAACATTGGACAGCCTTGAGAGTTCGGTGGAGGATATATCAGGTTCATCCGGTGCATGATCATTGTGTTGCACTAATTCTTGTTCTGTTGAAGGCAAGATAGGCATATGATGTGGAGGAGATGGATCGTGAGGCATGACAACAAGGTCATTATTAGGAGAAATAACAGATTGGACTGGAAGACTATTACTAGGCAAAGAACCAATTGAATTAGTCAACTCAGGAAAGGTAAACAAGACATTAGGATGAGATTTTATACATGTGGTGAAGACGTCCCCCTCAGAAGATGTGAGATCCTAAAAAGGAAAAGTGTCCTCATCGAATAGGACATGGCGAGACAAGTAAATCCGTCTCGTGGATAAATCCAAACATTTATATCCTTGATGGTTTAAAGAATATCCTAGGAAAACACACGCTTTTGATTTTTGTTATAATTTATATTTTGTATACGGAGTAAGCCAGGGAAAACATCTACACCCAAAAATCCTAAGCATATGATAAGTAGGAGGTTTGTGAAACACCTTTTCAAATGGTGACAGATTGTGAAGGACTTTTGTAGGTAACCTGTTTATGAGATAGGTAGCTGTTTGACACGCTTCAAACTAATAAGAGGAAGGGATATGAGCATGAGAAAGCATGACAATGGCAGTTTCAACAAGATGGCGATGTTTTTGTTCTGCTAATCCATTTTGTTCAGGATGTTTAGGGCATGAAAAACGTTGATGGATACCTTGATTTGCTAAAAATTTTTGAAACTCAAGTTTGGTATATTCACCTCCTTCATCACATTGAAAATTTTTGATCGAAACATTTAACATATTCTCAACTTGTTTCTTAAATTTAACAAACAAATCAAAAACCTCGAATTTGTGTTTCATAGGGAATATCCACGTGTAGCGGGAAAAATCATCACAAAGAGCAAATAATAGGTGAACTCCAAACATCGGAGTGTACAAGCTCCAATGGGGAAGAAGAAACATAATCTGATTTTGAAAAAGGTAATTTTTTGCTTTTACCTAAAGGACAGGAAGAACAAAATCCTACGTCAGAAGAGCCGGTAATCGGCACCTTTTTATTAGAAACCAGATTCTTCATTATTGGACTAGTTGGATGGCCAAGAAGAGAGTGCCATTTTTGAATTGTAACACGAGTTCCTACAAAGTCTTGAAAATGTTGATTGGAAAATCCACCGCCATAATGAAATGGATACAATCCATTCTCACATCTTTATTGGAAAAGCGTCTTCTATGTCTTGAGATCCTTAACAAAAAAGGAATCAAGAAAAATTAAGATGTAGCAATTGTTGTCAAAAGTGAAACGATGGACAGAAATAAGATTGAAGCAGAGGGACAATGTAAGACATCGTTTAGGTTAAGGGAACAAGAATCAGTGTTAATAGTGTTTGATCCAAAATGAGAAATGGATAGTCTGGAATCATTACCAACACCTCCAACATTGTCATTACCAGTATATTCCTTGGGGTTGACCAGATTCTGTAGTTCATGAGTAACATGAGCATTTGCACCTGTGTCAAGAAGCCATGTGTCATTGTTCTATCGAGTCATGGTAGTAGGAGAGGTGGCCATGGAAGTAAGACCTTTTGCTGGAATTCGACCTTCATACGCCAGGTTCATCCTTTGATAACAGTCCAAAGCCGGATGACCCGGCTTGCCACAGATTTGACACACTAACCGTGTGTTCATAGACGATGCTTCACCAACTTGTTGATAGCTTCGCTGGTTGGTAAAAGATCCGCGAGTAGCATTACCTCGTGAATTTGGAACAGTTCCACGATTGGACGGAACACCACCACGTCCAGTTCCCCTAGAACGGCCACCACCATGTCCTTAGTTAGCAGCAAAGGCAGCTACGGCAGGAGTAGACTCAGTGAGAGATGAAACATGATCATTCATTCTCCTTTCAGTGGTCAGCAGAAGAGACTCAAGGGTGGGATATGTAATTGGGGTATCACGGGCCTGAGCAGCACTTACCACCATTTCATATGCAGGGCCAAGATTATTCATGATAATCTGCACAAGTTCATCATCAAGAACCTGTTGTCCAGCAAGTGCAAGGTTGTCAGCAATCATATTCATCTTGTCAAGATAATCCGAGACATACAAGTCTCCTTTCATGGTGCATCAGCTCATTGCGCAAATGCAAAATCTTGTTTTGTGATGTTGAGGCATATCGACGTTCGAGAACTAGCCAAGTGGAACGAGAAGTCTGATTACGTGAAACTATGTAGAGCACTGATTGGGATAAGGAGTTGTTGATCCAACTTAAGATAAGTTGGTCGTATTGAATCCATGTTGTGTAGGCGGGATTGACTGTTGTGCTACCAGATAGATGTTTTGGAGGACATTCATGAAAGCCATCCACAAAGCCCACAAGGTCTCGGCTTCTGAGAATGGGTAGAAATTGTGCCAGCCAAAGAGAATAGTTGGTTCGATCCAACTTAATAGAGACAACACCAACCATGGAAGGAGTGAGGGTGTTCATGGAAGAAGGGGTAGGTGAAGTGGTGGTTGGGGTAGCAGAGGCATCATTAGTGTTAGCCATGGGAAGGAAAAATTTGGGAGAGGAAAAAAAACTAAAGTTGTGTCGTAAGACATATGGCTCTTGATAACATGTAAGACATAAGCAGATTTGGCTGAATGATCCATTAGTGTGATGGAGAGTTGTATTTATAAACAAATTACAAGAGCTGGTTACATAGATAAAATAGGACTCCTTCTTGATAAGGCAATCCTTGTATCAGAATTTAAAATACAAATACAACAAACTTTCAAACTGTACGTACAAACAATATCATGAGTTTAAATTCAAATATGAGGATAGCCTCTGTCTAACAAAAGGATCCCTTCACAACTTTGAAAATGGAATCCACACAAAACCTAGATACCAATATTTTGGAAATTCAATTTGACAAGTCTCTGAAGCCCTGGGGAACATTGAAATCTCCTGGCATAACTCCATCTCGTCTTCTATAGCGAAATCACGAGTATATATTATCACTTATTCAAGACCTCACCGTGCTTCAACAAGTACTTTACCATTTCCATCTCATCCAGCCGTCCCTTGAATCCCCATATGCAAATGGTCTCGAGACATGACGACAAGCAAATCAGTGGTACCCATGTACCCCGTAGTAAGCAATAACTGTCTGCGACTGGTAAAGATTATTTAAAATAAACAAGTTAAATTAAAACCTCTCAAATTTTCATATTGGTACCAAGAGCACTTCCAGCAGTTTGCCCTTTGCCATGGCAAGGGGGGGCTAGGGCAGCTACTATTCACATGAATAGTGATTGCCTTTGCAAAAAGTTGTGGTGTTTCCACCAATTGTCATGGCAATAACTATTCACATGAGATATGTGGTAAGAAATTTGTATAGAGTTTTGGTGTGGAAAGTAAAAACTATGACTAGGTATTTATTTTATAAAAAAATCTGAATTTTTTAAGATTTTTTTTAAAAAAATTTTGTTGCTGACGTCAGCAAACCCGAGCTTGAACTAGGGCTGATCTTGCCTAAGGGCTGGCCTGGTTTCGTGGGCTCCACTTCCTGCCAAGGCTAGCCTTTGCTGCTGGAAACGTTTTTTGGCCCAAACACCCCTTGAGCCCAGCCCGAGCCCAGCCTTAGCTGCTGGAAGTGCTCTTAAGGTATATATACATCAACCTACACTTATAATTTGAAAGACAAGATGTTTCAGGTGGGGGGAATTTCTTGAGCAACTTTGTCAGTAATCTCCAAGAGCAGCATCTATGAAGAAATAGCTCCAAGTGTATTAAATTAGCAAATGTAGGCAAATGATATTTGATGCATTCAGCGTGAATCCTGCACATAGGATAAAGTGTACAGATCAATCAATGACTAGAGCAACATCAAATTTGCTAAGCATAAGTTCGTTACTATACCCCGATCTCACTCCGACAGCATACTATCCTAGAACTCTGTCTATCCCAATCGATATAAATTCATAGTTAGGTTAGCCAGCCCAGTAACCCCGACAAGTGGGAGGGTCTGCACTTTCCCAATCATACAATTCTGCTAGACAATTCTATTTCATTTATTCTCCACTCAAAACCGTCTATAGAGAGTAAAAAAACAAATCCGAGAGTAAAATTTTTAGGGAGTTTCACTAAAACACCCAAAATGGGGGCTGAAATTATAAAAAAACCCAACACCCAAAACACTTTATAAACACACCCAAAACTCATCATTACACACACTTAAAACCCATTTATAAACACACCCAAAAAATATACAATTGTTTATTTTGGGGTTAATTTTGGGTGTGTTTCTATGTTTAAATAGTGCTTGGGTTTTTTTATAAATACATGTCTAGGATTGGGTTTATTTATAAATTTGTATTTATATAAAGCCTAGGACTTGATTTTCATAACTTCAATTTGACAAGTCCTTGAACCCTTTGGGAACATTGACAGTTTCTGCCTTAGCTTCATCTCTTCTTCTGAATGAAAGTAAGAAGGACAAATTTTCACCGTATTCAATACTTCACCGTGCTTCAATAAGTACCTCACCACTTCTATCTCATCTGGCCACGCATGGAATCCTTGTATGCAAATTTTCTTGAGGCTTGACAACAAACAGATAGGCACAAAATCTGGTTGACTCCATTGACCTACTGCAAACTCACTCTCATGGTTTTCCAGTTTCGCAGAGTAGCTGATGAGCTAAAATTCATTAAAACGTAAATGAGGTAGACTGAACTCTATGAATCATTGAACATTGCACAGTGGTACTGTTTAGCATAAGCATAAATCCATGTGTTACTTACAACTGTGTAGACAAGATATTCCCTAAACCTTAAACTTACAATTGTGAAGACAAGATATTCCAGATTGGGCGATATATTTAGCAACTTTGTCAAAAACTGCCACGAGAAGCAGGGTTCAAGATGTAGCTCCAAGCGGTTCAAAATATTAAATGTAGGTAGATGATATCGATCTCGAGTGAAACGATCCTACACAAACGATAAAGTATACACGTCAGCAAAATGCTCCAGAAAAATTATATACGTCCTCACCATAATATAGCATGTCCAATATATAGAAAAAGTACATGAAAATGCCATTAGACACTAATGGAACAAGTTAGAGCGTACTTACCCCATAAACTGGAGATGAAAGTGATAAATATGTAACATTGTGAATTCCTGCAAAAAGCCTATGCATACGATCGGCAGAGTCACGGGCAAAGTCAGGGTCCTCTAATGTATACAGGCGCCCCAAATCAATCATGGCTTTCCTTAGGGATTTTGCATTGTTCAAAGAATAGCTCACCAAGAAATTATCCTGGAGATTGAACTCTTCAAGATTCGGAGCATCAGCATTAATGTAAATTCTTTTGCATTTGTATTCTAACATTTTGTAATCACCTTCATCCCAACGGACTAGATTCATGGACAAACGCATTCGAAGTCTTTTTAGTTTAGGCGCAGAGACATTAATATTCACAACTGAATCATCTTTAAGGTGTCCCTCTATAATCAAATCTTCGAGTACGGGGCAGCAAGTAAGGAGTTTCTCCAATGAGCGACCACCAGGATACTGGAGTGTAACATGGAGGAACTTAAGACTTGGGAAACAATCAGAGGGAGGATTGATGATAATATCTTTATGATTCAGAGTCAGCTTCAAAACCTCCAATGTGTTGCACATCAAAAGCCTTCTAGGCAACTCATAACCCTCATATCTGTGTGACTTTGAGTCCACATCCACATTGAGGTCAAATTCAAATTCGACAACATTACGCCTAACAGTAGTGTAAATCCAGGGATCAATACGACAAAAATCCTCCTCGATCACAGAACAACGAAGCTGGAAGGTATGAATGTTTGACGAGCCACGAAAGAAAAGTACACAGTCCACAAACTGCGCAAAAGGTTCAAATGCTGCCTGTGAACCAAGAGTTGAGTTTATCTTGGGAACAGAAGTCCACACATCGAACCATCTATGTGACAAAACGCTGGTCTTCACAGCATCTTCTGTTGTAAGGAAAGAAAGAATGTGGCTAAGAATTGCATCAGGCAATCCACTGATCCTATCTCCTATGCATGGTTTACAACACCTTGAGTTCGATCCCATTTACAATTCGATACACTTTCTGTATATATAAAAAACCAACAAAACACCAATTTTCTAAGAGAGTTTCCCTAATACCAAAAAAAAAAAAAAAAAAAAAAAAAAAAAAAAAAAAAAAAAATCCCTAAACAAAAATTTAAACACATGAAAATTTGTTCTCCATAAAAATCTATCCAAATTCTGGGAAAATTCTCCTAAAAAATGATTCATAAGAGAATACTTTCAGTAAACATCGATACCAACTAAGGACTAGACTTCTTGTTAGTGTCAAATCAATCCTAAAGTGACAAAATAAAAATAATTAACAAACAATCCGCTGAGCTTGAATTTTTCTCTATAAGGTTTGGCACTATGTATGTTTTCTTTTTGTGATTTTGGGTTTACTTGGTATCCAAACAGAGCATTATACAAAATATTGATATTTCAGAAGAAGAAGAAGAAGAGGGAAAAATACCTGATATAGTTTCTGGATTGGTTTGTTGGAGCCAATTCTAGCTTCAGGGTACCGCTTTATTCTGTTTGGTTGCTGAGAAACAACAGGAAAAGAGAGGGAAATTGAGACCCTTGGTCACTTCTTCAACATTCTCTCCGCTGGAAATGGTGGAGAGCACTGACGGGTGACACACCGCGAGACTTGTGAGCTTCTTACCGAAACTGAAAATGTACCATAAATAAAAAGGTGGGCTGGGCTAAATTTCGGGATGCGTTACACGATTTTTTTGTCGTCTTCGCTTGGCTTGGATTGCTGAGATGGGATTTTTAGGTGGGCTTTGGGTTTTGGGACTGGATTTCTTTTTTCTGTTGCGATTATAGGACCCAATGACTAATATTTTGAGCAATAATGACCACAAAAATAAAAACAATTCCCTTCTTTTTTTATTTTTTGAAATGAAATTACTACAATGAACAAAACTTTAATACAAATTTGTTTTTTTAATGAAAACAATAAGAAAACCTAAAGAAGAAAAAAAAGAGGACCAAGAGGACCAAAAAAGAGAGGATAAGGAAATCGCAACTAAGAAACCAAAAACAAGAAACATGTATATGTATGTGCGCGCATCTTCAAGAGTGAAGCAGCACCAACGGAAGAAGGTGTGGCTAGCTCCTCCTCTGTTTTTTTTCTGAGCTTTCGGCTTTGAGGAAATGAAATGTAATTTTTAGTACCAAAAATTTTCAATAAAAATGTAACTTTTAGAGCACTTCCATCCGTGCAGGCCAGTATTGGCAAAAGGGCCCCCAGCTCACAAAAACAAAGTTCAGAGGTGAAGGCCAGCCTGGCCAAGAAGTGGGCTCCGTTAGCCTGGACAAGTCCAAAGACAAGACTTGTCTGGGTTGCTGCCTGAGCAAGTTGACCTAATGCTGAAATCACAACCAATTTAAATAACAAAAAGAGGAAAAAAATTTCAAAAATTTCAAAAAGTTTTTTTAATAAATACATAATCATATTCTTCACTTCCTACACCAAAAACTCTATACAAATTCTTCTCTTCATATCTCATGTGAATAGTGGTTGTCATTGAGTTGCCATAGCAATGAGTGGAAAATCAACAAAAAATATTGCAATGGTAGGCGCTATTCATGTGAATGATAACAACTCTTGCCTCATCTTTCCTTTTACCATGACAAATGGGTAGAAATGCTCTTAAAAGGTTAATTTTGGTATGTTTGTAAACGTGACTTTCAAAATTTTAAAATTTGAGCATAAGTGTCCTGAGATCATTTTTGGGCTAGTAAAATGGGATGGGCTAGCTTGGGCTGAGCTATATAAACTTAGACCAACCATGGTATGAGTGTCAAATATATTGCTCTTAAAATATAATCCTACGAGTTTCCATAATCATATCCCTTCAAAGTTAAAAGAATCTAAAAGGAGAAGATGAGCAAAGTTAACAACACAAGTTTATTATACATGTGTTATATCATAACACAAGTTTGAGTGTCTTCGATACATCATGTTGACATTATATCATATACATTTTATAATTCATCGCCATCAAAAGAGAAACAAAATGAAACATAACTAATATATATTCCGTAACTTAAAAAGTAGTGAGGAGATTATTGCTATATCTGAATCCCCAAGAGTTTTTTTCTTTCCCTTTTGGTAAGCAAGGTGAGCTATATAACTAGCTCAAACACAAGTAGTATACTAATTATGGCCAACGCCCGGGCTCGGGTTTGCCTCCTTCAGAATCCGATCACGATCAGCGTGAACAGAATGAAGTTGATGAAGAGTCATGGCCAACTGCTTTTCAACATTAAATTTACTTGGCACCGCATGGTGATGTTCATGCTCACCCAGATGATCAGAAAGCTCGTCACCCTTTGCATTGTTTTCAACTGTAAGTAGCCTTCTGGCTTCAAAAGAGGGGATACAGAAGGCTAGAGCAAAAAGGAGGACAAGAAATAACGTTACACATAAACGAGCCATAATGCATAACAAATGTGACCATGTCGTCAAGCTATTAGCATGTATATATACACAAGTGCAGAGAGATAGAGACGTGGGGTCAAGCAAAATTGATCACGAACATGTTCGGAAGTGATCAAAAGATGGAATGTTTTGGGACATATCCATTTACGAAAAATGCAGATAGTGGATATGTATCTTTTTGAGTTAGGTGCACTTGAACTATAGGGCACAGTCACCCCGGCCTCCATTATTGGTATTATATCGTTCTGTGAGTATATATTCCACTCAAATATTATCCATGGCTCCAAGTCTGCAGCTGCCTAGAAAGTTAGAAAAGCTTGAAGAAAGCTAGCATCATGACTTTCCATTCGTTGGTTCCTGCACTGCAACAATGCATGAGATTAAGACGTCCTTCTTTTTTGGGATGCATACACATCGTCAATACTATGTGAAAAGGTATAAAGTTGTTGAAAATTATTGGATCCAGTAAAAAAGAGATCGTCTTAGTTCAATGGATCAACTTACTGCTTTCATGACAACACATGTTGTTTCCGTGCAAGTATAAATACACAGAATAATAGGGTTATTGATGGTGATTGTCACTTTGGAAAATGCAAACTGGCATCCATTAATATAAGTATAGAGAGGCAAAGACCCACCAGTGTAATGGTTTGGAGCAATTGCTCATTCAGAAAAGCTTCTGGGTTCGAGTCCTAGCATTCATGTATTGTGTGTGAATTTAGTATATTATCGCCCCTCTCAATAAGAAAGGTCCTAAAAAAACATTTAAGTACAGAATGATGTTATTTGTACCATATTTACTGACACACTGTTGACAACCTCTCTAATACTTGTGATTCCCACACACACAAACCTCTGCTGCCCCCAACTATCTTTCCTTTGCAAGGCACTCTGTTCATGATCAGCAGCGAATGCTTGCACATTGTTGACACGTGACATGAAGCTTTTTGCTGCCCTAAATTTCCTTCCCCTTTCAGTAGTTGATTGGTTCCTAGTAATGCTAGAGGACCATTATTGTCAATGCCTGACATGAAGATGCACCATTGTAGTCCCCAATTTTGCTCACCATGCAAGGCAATTGGTTTAGCTTCTAATGGTACTTGTGGAACAAATTTTTGTGAAATCAATACTTCGCATGAGAAATTGTTGTAATTGATCATCAGTTTCTAATTGTTGTCCTGGTGGTACATGACATGATGATCAACATTGCCTGTTAGGAGGCATTGCCGCTTCTCTTGCGTCTCAAGCAACATCGCTTGCTTTCTATCCAAGCCCCGAAAGTTATTATCTCCATTATCATCACAGACATCCATATTGTCTCCAAGCATGATCTCCTTCTCTTTCCTATCTCCACGTACGTTTTCTTTTCTTTTTGGATTCCTCAATTTTTCCAAGTATATACACAGACCAATTTTTTTTCCTTGACATGATATACACACAGACCAATTCAAGCATGATCTACTTCAACTTCTTTGTACTTACTTATACTGACATGATAGATTGCTTTCTTGAAAAAAAATTATGTTTTACAAGCCTGAAACATATGAGTAGGATCAAATAATATTAATAAAGCTTTTGCACAGGCTATATACTACATATATAACAAAATAAATCTTTAAACTTTAATTGACCACATTAGTATAGTTACTTGTAACTAGTTAATTTAAACTAAAAATTACTTGATAATTTATAATTAATTAAAATATATATCTAATATATATAATAAAGTAAAATAAAGTAAACTTAAATATACATAAAAAAAAAAAAAAAAAAAAAAAAAAAAAAAAAAAAAAATAATAATTATATATTATTGAAAAATATAATTTCTTTCTCACACTTATTAACATGTTCAACAAACTCAACCTCTTTTCTTCCTAACACCAGGCAATGCAATGGGTGTGAGTAGATAAGTATCGTATATTTATTACATCATCACAATTCCATCCCAATGAAAGCCTCCAACTCTTAACTCACAATATATAGATTTCAAGAAGATTTTTTTGTTGAATCAAACAGCTTTATGGGTTTTCGTTGCCGATTCTTCTGAACAATTTCTTCACACCTGGGAGAGTGTTCTTGTTCTTGTGAGTATAAGAGAGTCTTGTGAATCCAATATCGATCAAAGCATAGCAGCAACAAAAAGCTCATATGGTTTTTTGTTGCTTGCTTCTGCTATCTTGTTGCTTCACTTTTCTTCTGTTTTGCTTCTAATTTCAGTGATTGTGCGAATATAATTAGCTGAATATATTTTTTGTTGATAGATTGAAAATGAGTACGGGAATGTTATTTAGTAAGGACGAAGGGAAGGCACATTTACAATGGGTGTGCTTGGTTGGCTCAATATTTCAAGAAATTTTTTTTTGGTTTTTCACGATTGATGTGCCTTGATTGTGGAGCAACATCAATCTTCAGCCAACCCAGCACACTATGGTAATTAAAGATGTTCAAATTGAAGTAATTAGCTTCTGTTTTTGTATTCAGTTTTGTATTTGTTTTTCCAATTGATCCTCTTTAATAATAATGCCAATAGGTAATTTGAATCAACCCAAGTGGGGAGACATCTTCAAAAGCTTCATGTTCTGATTAGATCAGTGGAGAGGACACTGACTTATGGCTCTGTAAGAAAAACTGATCATGGAAACATGGTGGAGGTGAGACTTAATGTCTATTGAATTTATAGAAGAAAAAGAGATATACGATTACTACCTGTGAGACAAACTTATATTCCATACACTAAAACATATTCTCTTATTTTCAATGTTGCAGGCATCAGAACATAATTTTAATGGAACTAGAGTCTGTTTCTTTGGTAATGCAAATGAAACAAAAAATGCCATTATTAACTTTCCAGTAGAAGGTATAGGGTTCCTGCTTGGTCTGTCAGTATTATTCCAGATTGCAACACTGAAGCCTAAAACACTGCAAAGGTAAATGTGATGTACTTTACATAACAGTTTTGCTAGACTTTACAGAGATATTGATTATAAACGATATCGATAATTTTTTGAATTTTATGTAGGTTAATACCCGTCTATCAGTAATGGAGAAGGTGCAAAATGAAGCTGATGATGGTGAGGAGCCTTACTCATTAAAGTGGGGTTGGAAGCCTGAGCACTTTACACATCAGTTCTGCATAGCAATCTGACTGCTAATGAGCTTCTTTATCAGAAAATAAAAATAAAAATAGTATAGCCGTGCGGCTATACTATTTTGTAATTATAAAATAAATTCCTTACTTCAATGATGACCCGATTCTTACATCATTTGGCGTTTTCATGAGATGAAGTTGGTTCTATGATTTCATAAAATATTGTAATTATGTTTTATTTATTGAATAATTAGTATTAAATATTTTAATTAACTTCATAAATTATATTACTTGATTAATAGTAATTTATTTAATAAAATATTTAGAGTTAATTTCAGTTTCGTACCTGAAGTGATTAATTTCAGTTTTCTGATGGTGTTTTTTACCATGTTCTATCGCCTCAATTAAAAGGTAGCTTAGTTGCTGGCTGTTTATAAAAAAATTTGTGCTAGTCTGGATCAATTTGTTACTATCAGTTCCCTTTGTATGTTTCTTTCATCTAATTCTCTCATATCAAATTTCAAAGACTAAAGCTGCTCAAAATGGACAGTTCAACTTTACCTTTGAGAGCAAGTTAGGTAGTTATTAGTGTATATAACATCTTTTTTATATAAAAAGCCAGCTTACCTAGAACCAGCAAATCCATTATGGTCATCTAAGCATGACTGCAAATTCAAAATAATAGACCAACTGCACCAGCAACCTAGAAATCAATATGCCGTTGAAGGCAAAGCCATTGCTAAAAAACCAAACAAAAGAGTGGACTAATTAACCATGCATTACCAGTAAACCAAAACCCAGCAGGGCATGGGGACAGTCAAATCAAAATACAACACCTGAAGATATTTTATTTTGCAAAAAATAAAATATAAAAACCAAGGAAAAGCTACTTTATCGAGATCTGAGTATCGGTAAAAAAATTCCACTTAAAACTGACAGTGTTAGTATCACTAAGCAAATAATAAATTTGGGGATTGCTTGAAGTTTAATTAGGCCTTAATTCTGTCAGCTTAATTTGCTCTGTAGGGTGACTTTTAAGTGTTCAAGCCTGTTAGATGGCTCTTAATTATGCTACTCCTTTAGGTTCGAACCTTCATGACACTTCGATAGTGTGTGTGAGAGAAATTCCCCTCCCCCTTTAGTTTAGGCTATCGTTTGTATTAAAAAAAATATTATGCTACTCCTTCATGATTTTATATAAAATACATTGCAATTTACTCTAATTAAGACGTTCATTTTTCTAGTCAGCGAAACATGTGCATAAAGAGTTTAATTAAGATTAAAATATATATTGATAGACAGGCAAAAAAAGTAAAAGGGAACAAGAAGGAGGAGAAGAAAAGGCAAAGCAGACGATCTGTCTGACTGTTCTGGCACACGTTGTAAGAAAGATCATCTATATACCTTAGTTCCATTCATAAGGAAGGACCAAATCTGATCAACCCCAAAAGTAAGGGAAGGAAGGGAATCTATTTCAAGTTTTTTCATAAAGAAAGAGCCGTTAATAATTTTGTGCTGCGGTCTGCAGAGTCCTCAAGACCCAAAAGCAAACCTGTGGCCTCAGCACAAGACACATGCAGTGCAGGCCTGAAATTCCTGTTGCTAGGATGCAGTGCAGCCCATGTCTGGTTGATGGGTCACTGTATCATTCAAATCTTGCTACCATGACATATGACTTTTTCCATTAATGAATTTCAAAGCACCCTGCACCTATTTCTATAGGATTAAAACATTCAAACGGTCAAGTATTTTTTTTTCTTCATGTATATGTATAATGTATACACAATTGTGTATACAAAATCTAAGAAAAATGGTATATATATTGTACAAGAATTGGAAGCATCCAGTGGCAAAAATCAGTAACTATAGAAGCAAAAATAAATAGTACATATCAAGATATATCCGGTGATGATAAATCATAAGTTGTACAAGACCAACCAAAAATCAATAACTATTGTAATTAACATGGAGAGAGTATCAAGCTATTGCCTTGGGGAGCACCATAAGGCCTGCAACAAGAAATAAAACAACATATGCTCAACAAATATAAGGCAAATAATTTTATGTATTCAAATAAAAAGAAACAAGAAAAGTATCTGCACTCAAATAGAGATCAGAGAAAGCAAAGAACTTACAGTGATCAAACAGAAGAAGCGTCTAGGCCAAGCCATCTTGGCATTTTTGAGTTTGTTGTAGCAGAACATTTCTTCCTCTTCACAACATGATATGATTATACTGCCCGGTGAGTCCAAGAACACACTCCGGCGCAACGGAGGAGACCACAGGCCACTCTGCTCATAATCGAAATCGTATTGGGAGGCATCAAAGAACTTCCCCAGTAGCCTTTCGGATACCGACTTCGAAACCATTTGAATACTTGGAGTAGTACTGGCACTGCTTGAAGAATCTGCAGTGCTGTCCAAGTTTGATGAGGCAGGTGAAGAAGGTTCAGACATGGACATTGAGAAAGTAGAAGAAGCACACCAGAGAGAGAGGGCTATGAGTTTAGGCTTTTAGAAGTTTCTGAGATGGAAAAACATAGGATGGGGATTGGGGAAGAGAAGGGACATGCAATTATGGTGGGGACATGAGCAGTATGGTTTGAGTTTGCGGGTCTCATTTGGTTTACAGATTGGTTTAAAAAGCATTTGATATTTGTGGCATACAAAAGTTAAAGTTTGGTGTATGCAAATGAAGACCATATAATTCGGGGATTCTCAGTATTATATTTAAAAGTATAAAGATATCTCAACTCCATACTAATGTTACGTGATGTTATCGTCAAATATAAAAATTTCTCGTGTTATGCATAAACTTTATTGGATGTTTTGACCCAACACAACATAGATATATACATGTGTCCTTTTCATGCTGAACCGATTCGTCTCCTTCAATTTTTTTATTCTTATTTTGTGTTTATATTAAGAACCAGTAATATAGATGTGTTTAACAAGACTGGACAATTCGAATTTTGAAATGACTAAAGTGCAAATGGTTAGAGATGGGTCCATTCCATAGGTCTCTAAACGGAAACAAACAATACATCCTTGGTCACACAAAAAGGTAATGATTCGTTTCTTGGACAACACATTCACATCTACAACATACATTGTAAAAGACATTTGTCATCGCAACTTTCTGTAACTTTATGAATTATTATGAGTAGTTATTTAACTAAAGCTTGCCTTGTCGACCACATTATCTTAGTTTCAAACAGCTTTAAATTATGCAAGTTACATGGATTACATCTACCTAAACAATTTTGTGGATCGAAAAACAGTGAAAAGAGCAAAAATAATATGGACCTAATTTATGACTAAAAACTTTTAGTCTTACAAAAGCTCTTATAAAAAAGAGTATACAAGTCACTTTCGTCCCAATAGTTTGACACTTCAATCACTTTTGGTTCTATAATTTTAATAAGAATGGATATGGTGTAGTTTAGGCTTCAATATGCAAACTGAAAAAATGTGCCTACTACAATGTGAATTAGTTCGGTTTAGGCCTCAACCAATCCATTTAGTGAGCATTTTAGTTGGGTCGATTTCACTTTATAAGTACTTAAGTAAAACTCTTTAGTCTCTTACATATATAAGTTGGAATTCCATAACTAGATTTGAACAACAGTGGAGAAAATTTCATATTAAAGAAGAAGAGAAATAACATATATGAGTTTAGTCAAGTTGACTAGAGCAGATGTGCTCTTCATTCTGCACTCGAGTTTGAATCCTCATTTCTGTAGTTTAAATTACATTAAAGTAGAATATCGCTTGTATAAAAAAAGAAAAAAAAAGTATTTAAAAAAAAAGTATTTTAAAAATTAAATGGTTGATATCAAAGTGCAAGATAAAACAAACAAGTTGTGATAATTAATAAGAAAATTAACATAGGCGGTCCGGTTTAGCGTGTTTTCAAAACGACCAAACAAACCATCGAACCGTAGATTGTGATTTAATTCGATTCAATCCACAACTGTTCCCTTTGAAGTCTGACAAACGTAATCAAAATATCCAAATTGAAATTAGGTTGATTTGGGCCCGGTTTCGTCACTAGTAATTGTTGTGGTGTAAACGAAGAGCTCATGTTGTTTACATGGAGGTGCCCTCACTGTACAACTTCCTTTGTCATCAAGTTTCTGGCGCTTTTTTGAATTAAAAACACTTTCTCACTTCTCACTTCACTGTCCACCGAAAGCTCCAGCTCTCAGCAAACCCCTCTCTCTCTCTCTCTCTCTCTCTCTCTCTCTCTCCTAATCTTAACAGCAAAAGTTAAAAACTGCAACAATGGCTGGGTACAGAGCTGATGACGACTATGATTATCTCTTCAAGGTGGTCTTGATTGGCGACTCAGGGGTGGGCAAGTCCAATCTGCTCTCCAGGTTCACCAAGAACGAGTTCAACCTCGAGTCCAAGTCCACCATTGGGGTTGAGTTCGCTACCAGGACCTTGAACGTTGATGGAAAGGTCATCAAAGCTCAGATTTGGGACACTGCTGGCCAAGAAAGGTCCTCTCTCTTCTTCTTCTATGCCTTTTTTCATTTGGGTCTTTCCTGTTTTCCTCTTTGCTCTCTAGATTTGTGAAGGTTGATTTCTGTCTTCGGGTACATTTGGTTACTTGCGCAGTTGGGATTACATGGATTTGTGGGTTTTGGTGAATTTCAGAGACAGATTTGGGTGTTTATTGTTTTATGTAGTTATATTTAGCTCAGATTTGTTCAATTATGGTTGCTCTGTGTTTGTTCCTTTTGAAATTTGTGTGCTTGGGAAGGTTTGGGCTCGCTTTTGTTAGTGCAAAGGCTCGTTGATCTTGATTTTCTTTATGGTTTGCTTGATATTTGAATGCTAGGTGGGTTTTAGATAGATCTTGGTTTATTCAATTTAGTTGAGATCCTGCCTAAAACAAAAAGAGAAGCTGTGTTAATGGTTGTCGGTCCCAGCCAACAATATCTTTGTGGTGATAGGTGCTAAGGCTTTGTTCTTAAATTTATTTGAGATACGGCAAAAGAATGCTTCATACTACTCTGCAGATTGGGGAGGTTCCTGCTTCAGCGGTGGCAGATCTTCTTGAATTGTTTTCTATTTTTCGACTGAGATTCTTGAATTCAGTGATTAAGTGTCTGAATTACTAAAAAAGTAAAAATAAAAAAGCTTCATTTTGAAGCTTTTGACATGCCCTTTTATGTAAATCAAATGCCAGTTAACAAGGGATTAGCACAACATATAAAACTTTCCTGGCAAATGAATGCGAGGTTTTACACAAAGTTGTCAGTGAAAATAGGAAAGAAAAAGAAAGGAGAAAAGAGAGATTTATGCACAACCAAATATAGAACAATGGCAATTGGAAAAAGTTGACCACCTAGGTGCTGCAACATTTTACTAGGAACCTCCTACCACCTCACCTTCATCCTTTCCCCATATCACATTCCCTACCCATGGCTGATTTTCCCCACTGAGGTCAATCAAATCTTCACTGTGGCATCACAACCAAATTGATTTAGCTACCCTTGAGTTACTTGCCAAATATTAACTTCCCCGTTAGTGCTTGCTAGCATTGAATCAAAGAGAGAGGTATTTAATTCTGGACTGGAGTTTCTGGTGGTGGCTACAACACTTTAAAAGGGTGGGTTTTAAGGGTTTGACAGAGAAGGATAGACTAGAAGAAGCAGGACCAAGCCAACACATCTGTCCACATTTATTTAACAGTGAGAATCTAAGGACTAAAAACTGAAGGGTGTAGAGTGTTTTTTTCTTTCGATATTTCCATTTGATCCTTTGGCATAGTTATTGGTGTTAACTAGTTGAGAGGCAATACTAGGGAATCAATTATAAAAAACATAAGCAATTTCATTTTTCATAGTAAGTTCGAAGTGGTTAAACTGCAATGAGTCAGCCCATATGAATGACAACTTGTTATATGACTGAGATTTGATGCAGTGTGATGGCTATTGCTAACTATGCTTATTTGCTTCTTGTTATTAGTCTCACTTTGTTTACATTTTATCTGGTGGTTATGGTAGTTCATGTGCTATTTCAGAAAAGGAATACTATAAGCTCATGATTATTGCTTTCCAACCCAAAAAAGAGGTTAATAAATATTGCTTTTCTTGTATCTTGGCATTGTAGTTGGTGGTGCTACTTATTAAAGCCTGATTTTATATTTTATAAACTAGGTGCATCATTATATTAATCAAACTACTTTTGCTAATAGTAAATTTCCAGTAATATTTTAATAATTAATTGTGGCTTGCAATCAACTTTGGCAAAAAATATTTCCCCTTAGCTGAAGATGCAAGTTCTTCATACTAGCTTATGAAATCTGCTTATGGTATTCTGTCTTAGTGATAGCTTTGTTATACGTTTTTATTTTATGCAAAGCTTATCATGCATGTCACTCAAGTCTTCCTTCTTGGTTTCATAGGTACCGTGCTATCACTAGTGCTTACTATCGCGGGGCTGTGGGTGCACTCCTTGTGTATGATGTCACTCGCCATGCGACATTTGAGAATGTTGACAGATGGCTGAAAGAATTGAGGAACCACACGGATTCCAACATTGTTGTGATGCTTGTTGGGAACAAATCAGATCTTCGCCACCTTGTAGCTGTCTCAACTGAAGATGGGAAGTCCTATGCTGAGAAGGAGTCACTCTACTTCATGGAAACATCTGCACTGGAAGCAAAGAATGTGGAAAATTCCTTTGCTGAAGTTCTGACTCAAATCTACCATATTGTGAGCAAGAAGGCAGTCGAAGGGGTAGAAAATGGAACAGCTTCTGTCCCAGCAAAAGGAGAGAAAATAAATATTAAGGATGATGTGTCTGCTTTGAAGAGAGTTGGGTGCTGCTCAAACTAGGCCTGGTAAACAAAACTTGATTGAATGAATATGGCTTCTCTGTACTGTGTAATATTTTTCAGAGGGATACAAACTAGCGGATACCAAAACACGAAATTTTTCCTTGAGTAAGCTTAGCTCATATTATCCACAATTAGCAACAACCCAGTGGATGCTGATTAGCACATTTAAATCGCCTTTCAGCGTCATCTATGCGTTTAAATCTATTTTTACCCAGGATATATATTTGATAAATTTCAATATCGGAAATGATTGCTCAGCCTCGTTCTTTGCCATATGCGATTGAGGGGATTCAAGTATTGTTTTGCAAGTCTAGTTGGAAGAAGTGTGCTATAAATTGATCATTCTATAGTACTGAAGTGTGAGTTTCGGGTAGATTCGGTGCTCTGGTTTCTCTTTCCAAAAAATCTACGCATGTCATTTATGTGCTTGTTTAGTCGATGAGTCTGCATTAAACAAGTCAAGGGAATATGTATTAGCTAGTGTTTGGTTGGTCAAAATGGAATCTGAAATTATCGTTATGGAAAGGGCCTTACCCGCATAACGGATGGGCATTCTCATGCCCCCAACATAGTGGAATGGGCATTACCAAATTAAGGTTATGAATATCCATTCCACTCTGCTACCTACTTAACCCTAGAAGAACTTCAAGCTCCAAACATTAAAGTTAAACCTTGGACTTGATTTCCAAACTTGGGACTATGAACTCAAATCCCAAACTTGGAAACAATGACCTTAACGGAGTGGAGATTCTTACCAACCACCGGGGATATACATCCCCGTGTCTCTAGAGTATCGATACATGTCATGTGTCTACCACACTTATCATGTGATGAGTTGTTGACACAAACATATTTCCTGTGACACAGTAGAATCTCTCCTAACGCATTCCCTAAACCCCGAAAACCCGATTCTTGATTCTAGAATCATGAACCAGGACTCAAGACACATGATATGACACTGCGACCTAGGACCTGAGACTGCAAACCACAGACATGTAATAGCCCTCTTGGATCCTTGACCTCGAATTAGACTGTCTTGAGGAGTCAATTTATACGGACTTGGTCCCCAGGGGCGTAGCACAATGGTTAGAAAGACGAGTTGGGGCCAACTGTATACTCATACGTCAGATGTTCGAATCTTACTGCTGTTGTGCGAGTTCCTGTGGAGCCAGGAGTGTGGGCTGAGGTTTGCCTGACATGGATGGGTCTAATGTGGTCCTGCCTTGAAGGGGTTCCTCGATATAATAATAATAATAAAAAACTTGGATAAGTTTAAACAATCACACTTTGCTTACATGTAACAAAAGAAACTCATCAACATCAGTCATAGTTTGATACAAAAACCCTAACTGTTCTCTATATATGCGAGTCCATCAAAATCCTCTCCCTAACGTTGCTCATGTTCTTTTAATTTTGATCTTACATCGTTTTTAATGAGGTTGCTAGAAAGCACCCAATTGTTCTTTCACAATGTGGTTGTTTTTGTTTATTTGTTCACTCTTATGTGCAGATAGATCGTTTGAAATTATATTTTCCCCAAATCTATTAGAATGGTGATAGGATTCCAAGGGTGTTTTAGTCTTTGTAATCTTGCCAACCTATTATATTAGGAGGTTAGTCAGCATTAGTTGGGGTTGAGTTGCATTGTGTTTTGAATAATAAAAATAGTATATTCTTTATGTACATTTGTATTGTGGTAGGGTTCGTTCAAGCTCATGGGTGGTTTTAAGGTTTTGGTTATGTTGGGTTTGTAGGCTTTGTTTGGATTTATGGTTAATTGGGGTGATGTGAGCTAATAGTTTTGGTGCTGCTTTTGTCTACGTTAGTTTTGCTTTTAGTATATTAGTTTGTTGCCCTCTTGGGATTGGTACTTTAGATGTCTTGTTGATGTTTTTGATTACACCATTGAAGTTTCTCTTTGATAAAAATAAAAATAAATCACACTACTTAGGTACTTGAAATTGGCTGCGTTACGCTGAGTGGCTAAATTTCAAGTAGTTTACTTATTTAATTTGTGGTTGTCTTTAGGCACTTTTTGTAAATTTTTAATAAAAAAAATGTATAATTTGACAGTAAATAATTTTTTTTTATTAGGACATATAACATAAGAAAATTGTACTTTATTTCATTATTTTATTTATTTATGATGACTTAATACAACATCATGAAGATGATGTGAAATATTACTTTATAAACTAAACAACCATTTTTAAAAAAAAAAAAAAAACAAACCCCAATTTTGTTTTCCTTTGGGTCAAAACAAGAACCAAATCAGGCCAATGAGACCCATACGCCGACCCCCATCATTTACCTCTTAAAACCTCTCCGGCTCCCGCTCAATTCAAGCAAATCCCACTCTCCCCAAAACCCTCTCTCTCTCTCTCTCTCTCTCTCTCTCTCTCGCTCGCTCCAACCCAAATTCCAATTGAAGCAGACCAAAGCAAACCCCTTTTGGCGAAAATGAGAGAAGAAGAGATAGAAAAGCTTCGTGGGGTAGTGAGGGACTGCGTGACCAAGCACCTCTACTCCTCCGCCATATTCTTCGCTGATAAAGTCGCTGCCTTTACCAATGACCCTGCTGATATCTACATGCAGGCTCAGGCTCTCTTTCTCGGCCGCCATTATCGACGAGCCTACCACCTCCTCAATGCCTCCCAGATCGTTCTCCGTGACCTCCGATTTCGTTACCTCGCTGCAAAGTGCCTTGTAAGTCTCTTGCTGTTGAAATCAGGAAATAGGTTCTCTTTGTTTGCTGATTTAGTTCAATGTTTTTGCTTGTAATGGGGTTTCCATTTGTGGGTTGTGGGTTTCTTAGTTGGGTTTTGTTTCACTTTAGTATGTGGTTGTAGAAGAAACGAAAAATGGATTTACCTCTCTCTCTTTTCAGTGCATTGTATCAGTAAAATAATCTCTCTTTTCAGTTCACCTCTCTCTCTCTCTCTCTCTCTCTTTCTCACACACACACGCGCACTCTCTCTCCACATGTTTTCTTTTTTCCTTTTCATTATCTTTTCGGACAGTTACGACAAATTGACAGTCTTCAGCTCTAAATTTGGCTCCATGAAGTCGTTTTCTAGGTTAATAGGACTGACTAGTCCATTTCTTTCATGTCCGTGTTTAATCAGGAGGAGCTGAAGGAGTGGGATCAATGCATATTAATGCTTGACGATGCCAAAGTGGATGAACATGGGAATCTGAATGACACAAAGGATTCAAATATCATGTACTTGGATAAAGATGGCGAAGATCATGAGATCAATGTAAGATTCTCTCTCTCTCTCTCTCTCTCTCTCTCTCTCTCTCTCTCTCTCTCTCCCTCACCCCTTTGTAAGCATTGCTATATGAAAACTTGGCTGGCAACAGTTTTAATATTCTACCTTAAGACACTACTATGGGTTTATTGTACTACTATCTTTGTCTCTAAGTTGGTTTCATTGTAGTATTTATCTGCTTAATTCATTTGCCATACTGGGTATCTACAGTTGGAGTCTATGAATATCTGAGTTTTCATTGTTGATGGCATGTTTTAGGCTCTTGAACATTTATGCTTGTATAAGTTTCTAGTCATGAAATGTGTTATTCCTATCTTGCAACAGATATCTTCTGCAATATGCTTTTTACGTGGTAAGGCATATGAAGCATTGGAAAACCATGTCCAGGCCCGGCATTGGTAAGTTGTTTCTGTGACTTAGCCTTATCATGTAATGTCTTAAGGGGTGTGTGTCTGTTTCAGTGTGTTTTTGGGTAAAATTAATGATATCCTCTAGTTTTAACTTGACGACTGAAACTTCAACTAAATATTGATCTTGTGGATAGAGAATAATATGATTTCTGTAGGTGTGACATCTATTGAGAAAAGCATATATTTGGAACGGATCCTTTAACGTGTTCTGTTTGCTCTAATTCTTTCAAGGTACAAAGCTGCTATCAAAGCCGATCCCTTATGTTATGAGGTATGTATTCGATCTATTAACCTACCAAAATAATTTCTTGTCTTCTCTAAACATTTATGGCCACCAAAAGCGGGGAGGGGAAATAGCATTCCCTACAAAAGGATTAAAATTTCTAAAGTAACAAATTAAGAAACTGTTTTATCATTCCAAACATGCTTAAAATACATGGAATCTTCTATCACTTGATTTTTTTAAAGGTTTTGCAGTAGTTCACTTATGGAAGCATTACTCATAAGTTAGATAGAATCATTTTTGTATGGGGAAATAAATTTCATCTGGAAAATAGAGAGACCCACGTGAGAGCGTTAGGCAAAACGGTGAGCTGTATAGCATTTTCATTGTCATCCTTCAAACTTTTTCTAATGTCTTTATTTATTCCTTTTTCAGGCATTGGAATGTCTTATTGAAAATCACATGCTTACATATGAGGAAGGTTAGAATCACCAAAATAATACTTTTCTTTTAATCACGTGTGCTTGTTATTAAAGGAAGTAACATCATGAATTTTGATACTATTTCTATGTAATTGCTGAAATCTAATTTAGGCTTCTGGTACTTTCATATTTTTGTTGATCCATGGATTGGATTGTAGTGTTTCATCTGCATTTCTTAAAAAAATTATTCCACTAAGGACGGGATGGTTCCCTTCTTAAACCTTTTGATTTGCTGCTGAGTTTCAGAGGCAAGTCTACTTGCGTCGTTACAATTTGGTCCTGAAGATGGATGGCTCTCATCGTTCTACTCATGCTTAATTAAAAAGGTAAACAGAAAGCCATTTCAATATGTCAGACTTCAAATGTCGAACATAGAGAAGACATCTTACATCTGAATACATTTTTAATTAATATAGATCACTGTACAAACATAAAGTAACAATATCTTTTCCTGTGCTCTCATCAGTCTTTCTCCTTTTTGTGTTTTCCAGTACGACAAAGAAAATGTTGTTGAAGCAAAATTCAGAGAACTTGAAAAAGAGAAGTGTAATAGTAACACTTCTGATCCATCCTTCTTTCGTACTCTGAAAACCAACACTGACCTTCTTGCC